ACCTATGTGGACCCTACACCCATCGCCAGTCATGTCGTCAGCACAGATGCAATAGAAGGTAACAGCCCAGCTCGGGGGGTCCTTGTGGTGAAGTGGATGCATTTCATCTGCAAATCACCCCCACCGTTGGAAGTGCGGCACCCCCTTTAGTGCTGGGTGTGAGGAATCCGTTGGTGGGGCTTGTCATAGCCATAGGCAGCTGCTACGGTTCCTAGAATCCCAGATGACCAGTGGTTCTCAACCTTCCTAATGCCGCAACCCTTTAATACAGTTCCTCATGTTGTGGTGACCCCAATTTCATTGTTACAAATTGAACATAATTAAAGCATAGTGATTAATCACAAAAACAATATGTAATTATGTATATGTTTTCAGATGGTCTTAGGCGACCCCTGTGAAAGGGTCATTCGACCCCCAAAGGGGTCGCAACCCAAAGGTTGAGAACCGCTGCGATAGACTGAGTGATCAAGAACCCTCCATCTGTCTCTCCAAAGGATATGAATGCCAGACAAAAGAGGAAGGTTATAAGTAACACACCTCTAAGTCTCTCCATTCACCAGGCTGTTTTTATTTTGTATGTTCCCCTTTGAGCCTTTTAATCCATTATTTGTTTTTCCTCTGAAGACACTCAGCCAGTACTGTGACTGGCCTCCTTGCTGAGTCTTCTTAGGGAGCCCATGGGGCCACTGATAGCTCACGTGACACCAGCAAGGTTACACTAGTACTTGTTATTTCTCCCCCATTTTAGTTTTCTTAACATTTTAAAAATATGAAGATATTAAAATATAGTAATTATTACAAAAGAAATGTTTATATGTTTAAAAAGAGATTTTTAAAAACTCAATATTAACCTTGAAGATTTTTCCATCTATCCTATCTAATAATAGAGAAACATGGTAATTAACTGTAACTTCGCTACCCTTCCCATTGGCTAATCAGCGAGATATGCAAATTAACTGCCAACCAAGATGGCGGCCGGCAGCCAGGCAGCTGAAGTGAACAGGAGGTTTGCTTGCTCTAGTGAGGGAGGAAGCCAAGGTTCCCCGCCTGCTGCAGCCCAACTCTGAGCTCCGGATGCAACAATGTTACAATTATAGAAGCTAAACAAACCCAGAAACCTGCTTTCAGCCTCCAGCAGGCTCAGAGCTTAGAGTGCCAGTGATGGCAACAGAGTTTCAATTATAGAAGCTAAACAAACCCAGATACCCGCAGCCAGCCACAGCCTCAGAGCTGGAGCCGGCTCTCAGCTCCAGTGACAGCTATAGAAGGTAAATAAATCCCAAAATAAAAACAAAAGAAAAAAAAAAGAGGCTGGGAGCTTCAGTCGCTCGCCAGCCTGAAAACGGCCCTAAGCCCCTCACCCAGACTGGCCAGGCACCCCAGTGGGGACCCCCACCCTGAAGGGGGTGTGACCAGCTGCAAACAGCCATCAGCTCCTCACCCAGGCACCCAAGCGGGACCCCCACCCTGATCCAGGTCACCCTTCAGGGCAAACCAGCCGACCCCCACCTGTGCACCAGGCCTCTATCCTATATAGTAAAAGGGTAATATGCAAACTGACCCTAACAGCAGAAAGACTGGGAATGACTGGTCACTATGACACACACTGACCACCAGGGGGCAGACGCTCAATGCAGGAGCTGCTCTCTGGTGGTCAATGCGCTCTCACAGGGGGGCAGCTCTGCTCAGCCACAAGTCAGGCTGATGGCTGCCAGTACAGTGGTGGTGGTGGGAGCCTCTCCTGCCTCCTCAGCAGTGCTACGGCCTGCTCCCCACTGGCAAGTGGACATCCCCCGAGGGCTGCCGGTCTGCCAGAGGGATGTCTGATTGCCACCTTAGGCCTAATCCCCCGGGGAGCAGGCCTAAGCCAGCAAGTGGTCACCCCCAAGGGGTCCCAAACTACGAAAGGGCACAGGCCGGACTGAGGGACCCCTTACCCGAGTGCATAAATTTTTGTACACCGGGCCTCTAGTATATATATAAAAGCCCAGCAACCGAATGGTGGAACAACCAGAACAACCGGTTGACCAGTCACTATGACACGCACTGACCACCAGGGGGCAGATGCTCAATGCTTGGCTGATAGGGATGGATGAGCAGCGCTCCTACAATGGGCCGATCCCCGCAGGCCATGCCCCCACCAGTGCACGAATCCATTCACTGGGCCTCTAGCCTTACTATATATTTGAATAATGATTATTTTTAACACTTGCAGTTTTAATTCTAATTGTTCATTAAATTTTTTTTTTAATTACATGTTTAAAAATGCACAAGTCAAATTTACCCCTTCCTATATTTAAGTGGATAGTGGGTAGTGTAAATAGATTTATATTGTGCAACTGCACATTTTGGGTGTCAGTTTACTAACCTTTCTGTGTGTTGGATGTGGAGGTGGAGACTTCCGAATCTGCCTAAGAGGTGAGCATTCTTTACATGCAGCTCTGAGGTTCACACACATCAGGAGAAGGCAGTTCATTTATTAGAGACAGACAAAAGGCGAGGCCTTCACTACTTCCCAAGGTGGCATTGCTTCTGGAAAGTATGGAGAATAGCAGAAGGAGTGGGGCCTGCAGAACACCTGGGCCCAAAGCAGCTGACGCTGACAGGATGAGGGGACTGGGGTGGGGATGGGGGGACAGGGGCCCAGGGGCCGTTCAGTAACTTGGTGCTGGGGGCAGCCCTCACAGCTTACAGCCCGGCCGTGTTCGCCCTCAATGACATGCTTAAGCAGCAACTGAGCCTGACGCAGCAGTTCATGGAGACCAGCCGGCACCTGCACGTGTCCCTCCTGCAGTCCCTGGACCAAGACGCATTCCACTACCACACCCTGGAGGAAACCAAAGAGGTGACACAGCTGCCCCCCATGGGAGAGGGAGGGCAGGCGGGGCTCTGACCGGGGGACAGCACTCAGCCCAGGGCAGCAGGGGTCCTTGGGCCCAGCCACCTTCTGTCCTATGGGAAGGAACCTGCTTTCTCTTTGTCCATGACAAGAGCCGGTGTGGGGCCGAGGCGCTGACGGCCAGCCTGGCATGCACCAAAGCTGCCCCGCTCTGAGTGACCTCTGACCGACGGTGACCTCCTTGGTGAGGGGTGCTGTCCCTCCACACTCTTCTCCTGAACCACCCAGGGTGATGGCTCTTCTCAGGCCCATGGGCTGAAGCTCAAGGGATGACACACTCACCTCTTTTTCCCTCCAAACATTTAATTTTTGTCTGACCACACAAAGTCTGTTATTTTATAAAAACAGTTACAGAGAGATGTAACTTACATAGTCCTCTGTAATTTCAGAGATAACTAGTACAAGCTTGATATATTCTGTACATTTTTCTTATGTAAAATATGAACTATTTGATGTGTAATATGTGTCATGTTATAATACACAATATATAAAATACATTACAATGTACTAGGTATATTATATATTACATGTATACTTCTTTATAGGAATAGAATGTTATATGATCTGTTCTGATTTTAAAAATAATTTTATCTACCGATATTTTAGTATGTATTTCTAAAAAATAAGGACTTTTGAAAAATAGTCACAGTACCATTATCATACCAACACCCAATTAACTTTATATTGTTTGAAATCCAGGGTTCAGATTTCCACTTATAAAAGTTGAACATGTTCCTATTTTTAAAAAAAATATCTTTATTGATTTCAGAGAGGAAGAGAGAGGGAGACAGAGTCAGAAACATTAATCGTGAGAATCACTGATAGGTTGCCTCCCACACACCCCACACTGGGGATCAAGCCCACAACCCGGGCCGTGCCCTGACCCAAATCGAACCATGACCTGGTTCATAGGTTGATGCTCAACCACTGAGCCATGCTGGCCCGGCCGTTCCTATTTTTTCATTAGAATCCAGACACAGTCCATGCATCAGGATGCCTTCTGTCTATTTAGCCTCCTAATCTGGAAAAGTGGTTCTCAGCCTTGAGCAGTGTAGCACCCAAAGTCTGTGACTACCCGGGTTGTTGGCGGCACGGTAGCCCACTGGGGACCCACTTTAAGAACCACTGCTCTACTCCCCCTCCCCGCCATCTCTTTTGTTAGAGAAAACAGGTTGTTTGTCAGACAGTCTCCCACATTCTGGACTTCACTGGTTGCACCCTGTGGGATCCCTTTTGTTCCTCTGTTGGACGTCCATCAGTTGACTGGACGTAGATGGTGATCTGACCACGTTGCTGTCCATAGCCTACCATGGCTCCTCGCTGCCTGCTCTGGGCCCGTCCTGAGAAGGGCATCCAGCCCTCCTTCCTTCCTGACAGCAGTCACCCGTCCTTTCAGACTCCGTCAGCCAGGGCTCATCTCTCCTTGGTTCCCACAGCGATATCACATGGCATCTGTCATTTTTGGTCAGCGTGACCAGGAACTGCTGGGGACGGGCACTGTCTTCAGCACCCGAAGCCCCGGTAGGCTGAGGCGTGGTGGTGACATGTCCGTCTGTCCTCTGCTCCACAGTACATCAGGCACCACAGACCCGCCCCACTGACCATGGAGGACGCTCTGAGGGAGGTGAAGGAGGAGCTCTGAGCACCACCAGGTAAGGCTTGGCTTGTGGTTCCAACAAGCTGGTCTAGTATTTCAGGCGCAACACATTAGTGTCCAGGGGATATTTACTGTGGGAGGGGGCAGGTGGCACCTAGGACGCACCTGAGTGCTTTCCCCTCCCGGCACCCAAGGACAGACCATAGACCAGTGGAAATGGAACCCGGGTGACTTTACCACTCATGGCCACAGAGGCTGCCAGCTTGTCTGGAGCCCCGGGGAACGGCTCCACCTGTGCCGGCACTGGCCTCCTAACGAGCTGAGGTCAATGGGGATGAGAGTCCCACTTACTAACAAGGACACGGGCAGGGGTCCATCCCGGGGACCTTGGTGTGAGACACAAGGCAGAGCTTTTGACCTGAGCCCACAACTCAGTCCACACAGACACCCCTCCTCCCTTCTGAGCCTGAGCACACTTCTGCGCTCCACACACCGAGAAAAAGGTCTTTATGAAAAAGTCTTTATTTGAAGGCAAAACAGTAAAACCCACAAGAAATTGTTAACAGCACGTGTTTATGCTTTATATCCTGAATCAGACACATTTAAACAATTCACAGCTACAGGAAACCTAGAACAAAATCAAATATTTTATCACATCAGGTTGAAAAGTTGGAGGATTTTGCATCTTATCGAAAAGAATTTTTTGAAAATGTTTCTGTACAAATAAACGGCACCACACCCCGCTGCCTGAAGATATTAAGTGCAGCTGATCCCAGTGTGGCCCCCGTGGCTCCCTCCAGGCCCCACCTCCTTGTGGTTGCAGGGGGGTGGGTGGGAAAAGGAAGTGACAGAGCAGGAGGCATGGCCTGTGGCTCCTCCCCACACTGGGTCTGAATGGACTATTGCACGCAAGTGCTGGTGTCGGGGTTCTTCTAAGTGAAAAACACAAGTAGACATTAAGGGCACAGACCCCCCGGGGACCATTCTGTGACCAGAAGATGTCTCAGATCCATCTCCTTAGGTCCTTTTCTTTCTGGAAATAACAGCAAATGGCTAACGTTTTAAAAAAAATTCAACTTAACTAAAATAACTAAGGGCCAGTATGTCTTGGAGGAATCAAGTTTCAAATTATCGCACTGGGGTTCATCTTCGGTCAACATGTTTTTAAAAACTAAACCATTTGGAGTAAAAATGAAAACCCTGTTTAATGTTGCAAATCAAGGTTTTGTTTTTCCTTTGTTAAAGAGTGAGCAGTACTAGCGCCTGGCCTGAGCCTTGTCACGACGTAAGTGGGAGGTGCAGATTGCAGAGCTGGGCCGCTGCACCCCTGGTCCGGCACCTGGCGTGCTCGCCCAAGGCCTCCTCCACACACGCTTGCTGATTTAAGCGGAGACTCGCATCTGACTGGGAAGAGATGAGAAATCCCTTCCTACAGGTGGCAAGGACTCTTGTCCAGGGGGTGAGGCTCATGTTTCTTGCTTCACTGTCCAGGGAATGAGTGCAGGGTGTCCTCATGGGAATCTTTCTTCTATGTGAAAGCTGGTTTGCCGGTGGGGCCTGTGCCTCCCGCAGTAGAGCATGGCACTGGTCACTAGGTATGCTATGGCTGTCCTCTTCTGTAGCTCCCCAACAATGGAGGCTGTGTGAGAACCGAGGTCCCTACCATCCAATAAGCCAGGAAGGTCCCACTTGCCAAGCTGCCGGCGGATGGCATAGCTCCTCACCACACCTACTTGCACTCGTCCCTGGCCTTCATGCGGGCGATGAAGGAGTAGCTCTTGTTCCTGCGGTAGTTCTCGTAGGGGTCGTCCAGGGCCACACCCACACCCTTGTACTGGTCCCACTTATCCCGCACGTCCCCCCCCTTGATGGGGTCCTGGATCCCTTGCTCTTTCACGCCGAGGCCACCAGATCCACTCCAGCCTTAGGAAGAAAGAGGGGCGAGTGGTTACGACCTACAAAAACTGCAATCTGGTGCCTTTATCCTGACACAAAGTTAAGTAGGAATGCATTTGGGGAGGTGAGTAACATGCATGAATGCTGTTTATAAACACACAGCTGGTAAAGAATGCCCAGCAGGCTCACCCTCTTTCAAAGACAGGGTGGTGAGCTGGGACTTCCTCTGACGCCATCATCCCCAACCTCAAAATCCCAGAGCAAGCTGTCCTCCCGGAACCTTACCCATTTTCACCAGCATCTGATGTCCTTTGTTCTCTTCCCCAAGCCTGGAGTCAGGTATAGGAGGTGCTGAATTAGAACCTAGGCCAGCTGAGGAACTAAAGTTAGGACAGGTTACATCTTTTACAAATGAGTAGGTATATTTATTGGAATGCAAACTTAGAATATTACAGGGCGTGGCATATGAGAACAGTCACAGTGCAGGATGGACACACACACACACACACACTTGTGTCTCTATTACTTCATCCTCTTCACAAGCCTGATAATGGGAACTAAGGTGATTGCCCCGCTTCACACTGTGCAGCAAGGGTCACACCAAGCCCCTAAAATGGTTAGAAACAGCCCAGCCACCACCATGTGAGATAAGGAAGTGCCACTGTCACTGCGTTAATGCTTGGGTGTCCCTGAGGCCCTGTGCCAGCAGGGGCCACCGGGAGCATGTCTTCTAAATGACATTTCAACATTCGCAGCAAAGCCTCAGAGGTTCCAGCGCTACCAGCAGGGCACTGGACAGTTAAGACAGAAATCTTACGGCGGAGTGGGGCTCCTGGATCGCGACCGACGTCTCCTGCCTGGGGAGTATGACTTGGACCTGGAGCGGGAGCGGGACCTTGAGCGGCTTCTTGAGGAGCGGGATCGGCTACGGCTCCTGTTGGGGCAGAGTTGTGCGGGAGAGCCCAGCGGGTCAGCTGGGCAGCCTTGAAGCCTCAGGCTCAGTCCCCGAGAGGTGGTACTGCCTACCTGGAGTGGGAACGGGAGTAGGAGCGGGAACGGGAGCAGGAGCGTGACCGTGACCTGGAGTATGAGCCAGACGACTTGGAAGACCTCGAGTTGGAGCGAGAGGAGGAGCGCCCTCGGCTTTTGGACCTGCTCCGAGACCGCGAGGGTCCACTGCAAGGAGAGGCTGGTGAGCTGGAGCTGGCACCTCCCAGCTCCCACACAGGCACAGGCTGAGCCTGCCACCCCCACCCGATTTCAAATGGCCCCATGCCATTCACACCACGGTGTCACTTTCCTAAACAGCTCGGTGAATACAGACCAAAGCCAACTTCTCTTGTGCTGGTGTTTTAACTCAGGCTTGTGGGAAGGGGTCCTAGCACTTTTAACATAGGGGCCAGACCAGGGGTGGGCAAACTTTTTGACTCGAGGGCCACAATGGGTTCTTAAACTGGACCGGAGGGCCTGGAGTGTTTGTGTGAACTAATATAAATTCAAAGTAAACATCATTACATAAAAGGGTACGGTCTTTTTTTTTTTAGTTTTATTCATTTCAAACGGGCCGTAGTTTGCCCACGGCTGGGCTAGACCCAAGAGCCAGGCAGAGGCTAGACCTGACTTTGTCTATGATTGGGGGTGATATCGTATGTTTTATGACATTAGGTGTTGGGGGCATGATACAACATGTTAGGATGTGACAGAACAGTGTGTCTGGTTCACTCTAAGCCAATTCATGACAAGATTAGCCAGGGAGGCATGATGACTCCATACAAGTCAGCAGGGACGCCCTTACCTGTTCCTCTTTTCCTGGCCTTTCCGCCGTCGGGCCCGCATTTTCGCTCGGAAGAACTCGTAGAGGCCATTCTGCTCCCAGCCTTCGCTGTAAGACGGGCAATGTGACCACATGTGACCACAACAGCCTCCTTCCCAAAGGGCGCTGGGAAATCTCATCAGGAGGGAGGAGGCTACCTCCTACCCACAAACCCCCCCCCCCCCCCCCCCCCCGGGATGCGGCGCATGTGCCACCACAGACAGCACTGGAGCTGTCATTTCCACGGGACGCCCTTTCTCAGATGAGGAAGCAGGCTGAGGTCGGGACACCTGCTGGGAGGTGGACTGGGCTTATACCTGACACCCCCGGCTCTCGGCCCCTCTGAACTGCAGTGAAAAGACAGAGCTGAGGGTCTTAGGGCCTGTGGTAATTGCAACTGGGAACCTGTGCCTGGCACAGGAAAGGAAGCAATGTCAGCCGGGCTGGTGATAAGGCCTTTGGGGGAGGGTATCCTGAAAGGGACCCATGACAAAGCCTGGATGTGCAGCAAGATAACGAGTCCCAAACAGAGAAGCCCTTCATGAAGGGCCACTGTGTGGCACATACCACCCATAGTCAGGAGAGAAACGGACCCTATAATGCCATTTCTCTTAGAGACACCACACTCCTCACCTGGACCTCACACCATGCTGGGTAGAAGGTATGGATGGTTAAGAGTCTTTCTTGTGAAGCAAACTTGGGGGAAGACAGGTTGGGAGATGGGATAGACTCCCCTCCCATCACTGGCCCCACTGCTGGGTCTCCCCAGGCCCCGTACCTGTTCCTTGGCCTGTCATGGGAAGGGGGGCTGTAAAAGGCCTCCACGGCCGCCAGCAGCCTCTCACTGGGTGGCATGGGAGGGGGAAGGCGGATGTCTTTAGGGTCCAAAGGCTTGTACTCGTGATCTTCTAGCTGCAGTGGAGAACACAGTTGTCACCACATCTTGCTGGAGCCCCCATCAGGCCCCCCCAGGAGACAGGGCCTGGTTTGGGTTAGGGTTGTCCTGGGCATCAGTGCTCACCCAGCCCTCGCTGGAAGGCCCACCCTCTTTGAGGCTGATAAAAGCCACAGAATTCTTTCTCCAAAAAAATGACCACAGAAGACATGGCCTTTAGGAAAGGAGACAGAAAGAGCCCTGGTTCATTCACAGACAAGCTGTGAATCCCAGATGCTCTGCCTGCAGGTGCCACCCTGTGCCCTGACTTCCTACCCAGAGCTCTGTTATCTCCCTTGAGGGCCCTCCCACAATCAGGATCCTTAGCCCAGCCCAGGAACTGGCTCATCCGCTGGTCCCTCTGCCTGTCCCAGCCCCTTGCTCACCTCACCCCTCACATGCATTCCCAGGTTCCATGAAGGCACACCTCAGCAGTTGCCCCTTTCCTGAAAAACCCTTCTGCCGTCAACCCCTGGACAAGGTGGCTTCCAAGAACCATTACTAAGAGGACCTGTGCCTCATGCCCAACCCAGCCTGCCCCAAGTGGCACCAAACTCATGGCAACAGAAAGATGCAGAGGGATCAGGAGACACGGGCCTCACGGACTCAGGTGCATTCCCACAGACTGGCCTGGTCGAGGTCGCTGGGGAGTGGGAAATGCGGGGGGAGTGGCCTGGGGAAGCAGTTCTGTAGCCTACGGGGAACTAGTTTCATCTGCGAACTTTTCACGTGGAGGCAGAGGCACTGGCCCGAGCATGTCCCACTGAGCGTGGCACTCACCACGGAGCTTACCTTCACAAGGGGGGCCATTAGGCCGGCGGGGAGATCGAAGTAGGGAACGTTGGGGACCAGACTGGGGTCATCATGGTTGATGTGGGGAGGGCCCTGTCGCCGCATGTGGGGCGGTTGCCCATTGAAGCCATGGGGAGGAGGGCCAAAGTCGGGGTGCTGGGGTCCCCCCCAGGGCGGGTGCTCATTGATCCCAGGATGTGGCATGCGATGGCCAGGGTGATGGTGAGGGGGTCCCATCTCTGCAAAACAGAAACTTCTCTCAGGCTCACAGGGAATTTATGAGCCAGGCGGCACCAAGGAGCTCAAAGAGGAGCAAGGATGCCAACACCCACTTTCTGAGCAGCCCTTCCATCACCTCCTCTCCCACTGCTTCACTCACTGCTCAGGCAATGCAGCAAGAGGGGAGGAGCAGAGGCTCGAAGGGGGCTGGCACCCACAGCAGCACCTGATGGACCTCGCAGGTTAAAGAAGGAACCACAGGGAAATCACAGCACCTTCTAACAGCAATGTTATGGGCTAAATTGTATCTCCTCCCCACCCCTGACCCCTGCATTCACCACCACCAGTCCTAACTCTCCCTCTGAAGAGACAATTAACTTAAAAAGAAGTCATATGGGTGGGCCCTGATTCAATATGACTTGTAAGATCAGGACACAGACAGGTAGAAAGAGACAATCATGTAAGGACACAGGGAGAAGGTAGCATCTACAAGTCGAGGAGAGAGACATTAGAGGAAACTAACCTTGTTTCTAGACTGGGAAGCAGAACCTGTTGTTGGAGCCACCCCAGGATGTTAACACAAACAACACACAAGCTAGGTGATCTCCGAGCTGAATTTATAACCAATGGAGGGTTTTAAGGTAGAGGCAGTAATACAGTAAGAATAAAATTCTTTTAAGCCCAGCCGGTGTGGCTCAGTGACTGAACATCGATTTCATGAACCAGGAGGTCACAGTTGGATTCCCAGTCAGAGCACCTGCCTGGGTTGTGGGCTCCATCCCTAGCTGGGGATGTGCAAGACACAGCCAATCGCTGATTTTCTCTCATCATTGATGTTTCTCTCTCTCTCTCTCTCTCTCCCCCTTCCTCTCTCTGAAATCAATAAAAACATATTTAAAATTTTATTTTAAAAAGAGAAAGTTAACAAAAATAAAGACTTCGAAAAACAACAATAATCAAGTAGGAAAGCTGATGAAAACTGTTGAGACAAGGACCGGGAAACCAATACTGTGACAGCAGTGTGGGCCCTGGACTCGGTGCCTGTTGCTATGGGCACTTGGGGGTTACTTCTCCTTTTGGAATCTATCTGCCCTTCTCTGCAGGACAGACAGTGCCCTATTCCTAGGAGGAGGGACCAAAGTGTCACCCCTCTACTGCTTGGTGTGTAGTCTATTCTCCTCTGTCATTCCATGACCCTCTGCCTATGACCTAGCCTCGGGGCACATCAGGGGCACACCAAAGATCAAGAGCAGTGCCATCAGCCTGCTCAGGAGAACAATCTGTCAGGTGCCTCCTCCAGGCAGGCAACCTGGACTTCTCCAGGAACCAGGGGCAGGAGAGGGCTGTGTGTACTGGGCCTCAAACATGCAAAACACTTACCAGCAGGGAAGTCCCCCTGAGGATAGTCAAAGCGGTGAGGATAGGGGGGCCGCTCGAAGGGGTGCCTCGGGGGAAAGTCATCCTGCATGAAGCGGGGTGGGAAGCGGTTGAAGTTGTGGGGGTGTGGTGGCTGGTTGAACTGTGGGTGCTGCTGGTGGGGTGGGAAGGGCCCGCGGAAGTGTGGTGGCCGCTGCATGCGGAAGGGCGGCTCTCGCTGGCCACCACCCCAGGGCGGCTGCTCGTGCTGGCTGTTCCAGGGGCCCTCGAACTGACTGTTCCAGTTGGGGTCGGGCTGGCTGTTCCAGGGTGCGTCGCGCTGGCCGTTCCAGCCGGGGTCCCCACGCTGCTCACCCCACATGCCCTCATGGCTGTTGTTCCAAGGTGGGCAGTGGGGTGGCCCACCCTGGTGGTGTGGGTAGGGGGGCTGCTCAGGAGGCTGTGAGACAAAGAGCAGATGTTAGCCCTCTCCAGGCCCATCTAGCCTCCGCACTGCCCGGTGCTGCACGCTGATGGTCTGCTGGGCGTTGCCCTGGGCAGGCCAAGGTGCTTTGTTTACTCTGCCGTGCAGAATGGGTGCTTTACTCTGTTTACAGTGGGTGCAGTGGTATCTGCCCTACCACTGGTCCCTCGTGTCCATGCTGATAACCTGACTCCCAAGTTTCTGCTCCCCATCATGGCTGAGGCTTTCTCTGGGTCCTCATACAGGACTTTCTAGAGGCCCCACATACAGGGAATCGGAACACCCCCTAGCCGAGCCCCCTCGTGGACAGCACAGAGGTGCCTCACCCGCTGCATCCAGAGCATGCGTAGTGGCTGAGTCCCAGCGGCCACCCACCCCGAATCAGCCCTTTCATAACTTCCCTCGACCCTGTGCTATTCTCCTGGGACATCTCCCACTGAACTACTTGCCCTCAGTCCTATTTCAGGGTCTGCTCCTAGGTCCGACCCAGGAAACTTGTTTCTGAAGGCTGAAGACATGAGCTCCAGCTGCTGCTCTGAAGACTTAAAGTTGGACTGCAACCCAAACTCAGAGCCAGGGAGGATGGGTCCAATGAGGCCAATCAGAGAGCCCATCTCTAGGGTCATGATTGGTTAGCTCCACTGACCATTACCACCAGAGACTGGCCCAGGCCACCATATTCTCAGGAAGCCAGAAAGCCAAACTTTAAATATGGCATCATTTCAAAACGTGCAAGATGCCTCATGGGCAGGCCAGGCCAAGTGCATTGCCAGGCCATGGCGTCTGACTATGGACTGCTGACCGAGGGCAGACCCTTGGTGAGGGGACCCTGTTGTCGTGAGCCTCCTAGTGCTGCTATGCTGGATGAGATGACCCTTGCCCTTGCCTAGAAGTTTCTCACCCCAAGGAAACGGGAGGAAGTGACCAGTAGCTCAGCCCCAGAATATGCTGCCTGACACTTGTGACCTCTTTTAAAAGCACCATGTTCTCTCCAGGGTGACAAGGTGTTGACACTTTGCTAGTCAAACGAGTCAAAACAAGGGAAGGAAAGGGAGCACCCTCCTTTACTGTGTGGGATTTCCCTGCACTCCCTGGAAAACGGGGACCTGTTACTGACAATCCCAAATGATCAAAGCACCAGAGGAGGCAAGGCCTGCCTTTCTTGCTTCACCTAATCCCAGTACCGTGGGAAGAAGGGGCTATCGTACCCTCTCCCCCAGACCTTGCTGCAGATCTTCCAGTCTCCCAGCAAGCGGCTAAAAGCCCCTCACCTACAGAGGCTGCCCGCCACCCTGGCCGTCAGTCTCGTTAGGCCCAAGCACGCTCACCTGCCCCGGTAAGAAATACCTGCTGTTGACCCCAAGGAGCAACGGGGTGAGGCTGGTCAAACCACGGTGGTTTGTTAGGTGGGATCTGGTCGTGGGGCCCAGGGCCCCGGGGGCCGGTGGCTGCAGGGTCCTGGACCCCTCCTGAGGCGTCATATTCAGAGGAGCCGGGCATTTGGATGGGAGGCTTGCTGTCATCTGGAACCAGGCAAGAAGGCAGTTAGTGGAGGCCACAGCAGCAGGAGGTGCCACCCAAAACGGTCATCAGCAGACACCCGGGCAGCCCAGACTGGGCTTCATTTCCTGATAAATCCTCACTTCATGACCCAAGGAAAACCGCTGGGAAGGCAGCAGGACACACACTTCTGTTCTGAAAGCTTTACAGGAAGTACCGTACTTCTACCAGGTTGACCTTAGTTTGCTGAAGAATTTTTACCATTGCTGAATTTTATTACCTACTTCCTCCCATTTGATGTTACGTTATTAGGCTTCTTCAGTGTTAAACCATCCTTATACTTGGCTGGTTTTAATTTGCTAAGATTTTGTTTAGTATTTCTGCATCTTTATTCAGAAGCGACAATGGATTATATTTGTAATTCTTGTTCTGTCCTTGCCCAACTGGTGAGAAAGTTATCTTGGTCTTGGAAAATGATTTGGGCAGCTTTCCTCTTTGCCTATTCTCTGGGACAGTTTATAAAGGAGAATTGAGTTGTAAAAGTTTTATTATGTTTAAATGTGAAATTCTCTAGCCTGCTGCTTTAAACTGATTAGAATCTGGCCCGAGACTCCGAAACTAGAGCCCTTCTCTGGGGGGAAGCTGCTTGCTGGGACCAGCCCCCAAGAGTGGGTGCAGGGGGGCCACATACCAGGCTGGGTGGTGGGCGGGATGGCTGGGGCGGGCGTAGGGGCTGGCGGTGGGGCAGGTGGTGGTGGTGTGGCCTTGACTTCAGCTTCTATTTGTGGCATCTGGATCTGCTGCTGCTGCTGTTGCTGCTGCTGCTGCTGCTGCTGCTGGGCCAGGCTGTTGACAAACTCCTCATGCTGCGTCTTGAGGGTCTGGATCTGCTGCTGGAAGGCCAGCTGCACTGGCTGGACCACCGAGGAGTACTCATTGATAAGCGTTGCCTGGTAGAAAGAGAAGGGCGGGGGCACTCAGTGCTCGAGCCTCAGGGCCCACTGCTTCCAGAGCAGCATGGGGCCAAATGCTAGGAAAGCCCTGGGAAGTCGGGGTGCTACCAGGGGCAGTGAGGCCCAGCTGGCAGGTGACGTCATGGAAACCGATCAACTTGGTCTTGACAACCAGACCACCTATCTAGCCAAAATCTTGGTGATGTGCAGTGCAGTTTAGAATTCCCTGATGATGGAATCAGGCAATGATAGCTGTGGCCGCCTAGGGCACACAGACTAAACGTACATCACTGGCAAATGTTCTGAGACATGCTCATGGGCTGTGCTTACTTGCTGCCTGGCTTTGAATAAGTCACCACCTCCCTGAGCCTCAATTTTTCTCATCTGCAAAATGGGACCAACTTCTGAAGATTTCAGGGAGAAGTCAGCATATAACACATGGAAAGGGACTAGAGTGGTAGAGGCTTAGTAAACACTAGCTATCACGTTTACTAAGCTGAACTCAGGAGGAAAAAAAACAGTTAGCCTTAACTGTTGTATAGCAATACAAGTCCATTTTTTTTTTTTTTTTAAATATATTTCATTGATTCTTTACAGAGAGGAAGGGAGAGGGACAGAGAGCCAGAAACATCGATGAGAGAGAAACATCGACCAGCCGCCTCCCGCACATCTCCCACTGGAGATGTGCCCGCAACCCAGGCACATGCCCCTGACCGGAATCGAACCTGGGACCCTTCAGTCCGCAAGCCGAAGCTCTATCCACTGAGCCAAACCGGTTTCGGCTACAAGTCCATTTTTATTTAACATAAGAAAAAGTGGGTAAAATGTAGAGAAAGTATGAAATGCACTTTCCTCATTTGTTTCTGAGCATGAGAGCCTGTCCCCTGTGGTGAAGATGGCATTTAGGACCATCACCGAGGGAAGCAGCCTGCACAGAGCTCCTGACATTCAGCCAGGCCTTCAAGCCTGAGAGAAGGGGTGTGAGCTGTGCTTTTTATTCCAGAAGCTGCGTATAGGGCAATGATGCTGGTACCATGGTAGAGGGAACCAAGAAGACCCTCCCTGCCCTGTGCCCCTCCCCTGGGCAAAGGCAGACACGTGTACGGGGAGCACTGACTGCACAAGGTGATGGCCACAGCAGCCTAGACTACCTGGGGTCTCCTCACCTTCCCATCGTGTGAATGCGGGCCTGGAGGACCAGTGCAAACAAGCCAATGACACCCTGAGAACAGGGCCTACATTGGGAAACTCGGTCACAAGCGCACCAGGAAGCCTCCCTGGGAGGGGTCCCTCCTTCCTGTGCACGGGACAGGGCCCCCCAAGGGTGCTGCTCAGACCCCGGCCTTCAACACTCACTAGAGGCCCACCAGGGTGCCCAGTTTAGAAAATGCCATCTGGATTCTGAGGCCACCATTCCATTGGCTGTTCCCAGCCCAGGTGGGCCCCGACTTCTGGAAGCTGCTGGGTGGTGTCACCCTGGCCCCGCGTGTAGTTCGGGAGGTGGTGGCACTCACCTGGTACTGGCCGAGCCCCAGGGCCGGGCTCTGCAACTGCTGGATGATGGAGTCGTCAAAGTAGCCGTTCTTCTCCCAGAGCTGCAGGAGCTGGACGTGCGAGGATGAGCAATCATGTCAGGGAGAAACAGCTTGCCCCACCCCCTACCCACCTTACTCTACCCTCCAGGCTGCGCCACGTACCCGGGCAATCTTTTGCTGCTTGTCCTCCTCCACGGCCAAGAAGCTGGTGCAGTAGATGGGCACCACAACCTTCTGCAGGGCGGCCAGCAGCTCCCTGGCCTGCTTGCGCTGGCTGTGAGGGAGAGACCTTCCGCGCGTCAGGGCCCTGGGGCGGGACCCGGCCACGCGCCCGTTACCATCGTGGCTCCAGCCATAGCACCCTCTGCCTTCTCAGGGAACGGGCCCCCAACCCGGCTGGGACGAGGGCTGGGCTCCCCACAGCATCTGTGCTGGCGCTTGGGCCCCACTGACCGACAGCAGTGGGAGGAGGGAAAACACAGGGTGGGGACCTGCAGAGCAACGCCTGTCACTCTGATCTCCTTGTTAGTAAAGTCATCCTTCCCTCCTGGCATAATGGACACAGAGCCTGTGAGAATCCCAATGTCCACAAAGGACAGGCTAGAGCTGCTGTGGGCTCAGGGCCTTGTCTATGTGGTCTTGCTCAGCACTGTGATCCCACGTGCGCAAAAACCTAACTTGGGCCCCGTGTTTCAGGAGGCAGAGGGAGTGTGCCAAGTGTGCTGGCATTGGGGACCTGCCCCCACATCCTTCGGGGGGCACTCTGAGGATAACTGGGTGTGGACGTCCCTGCAGCTACACACTGAGGTGGCATGGGGCCCCCAGTGTGGCAGTGAGCCCAGATGGCATGAGGCAAGTGGCTGGAACCCCTCCCAACACCAAGTTCAACAGAGAGAGCTCACAGACTGGAGCAAGTGCCTGGAGTAGGGAAGTGGGTCATGGGAGGGAGGCAGTCCGGGCGGAGGACAGGTAGGACAGGGCTGTCTCTGCAGAGCTGCCTGGAGTCAGAAGAGGAGTGAATAAAGCAGGAAGGCAGGGGAAGTCCCAGGCGGCTGCTTACTTCCCCACATGTGAAATAAGGGGATGGTGATGCCGGGAGTGACTGAGTGTGGCACGAGGAGGGCAGGGGCCCAGGATATACGCGTGGCGGAAGACAGGGCAGGGCAAAGGACTGAGAGGGACAGGTCAGTTTCTGCTGCCCTTATGGGCACCATGCCCTTCAGCTGGCCAAGCTCAAAGCCAAACATGGCAGCCACACACCACCTTACTAGCACTGCTTCCTTCAGCCTGTCTCCTCCTGGGGCCTGTCTTGGCCCAGGCATCTGGTTCCTTAAGTTAACCTTTGTCATAAGGCCCCCAAAAGGCAGTGCAGATGTAACCACTGGCCTGGGGAGGGCTGTGGGGGTGGGGATTTGTCTCGGTGGGCTGGGACATAGGGTCCGCAAGGGGAACCCATCACCAAGGACCCTGAAGCAGGGCAGAGTCAGCTGACTGAGGGTGTGTAATGTGTATCACTGACGCGGAGCTGACAGCCAACAGAGAGATACCGAAAGATACCAGAATTTGCCCTGAGTGAGGAGTGAAGGAACTGTGGCCCTAGGTGAGGTGGGGATGAGGATCCAGGGATAGGCTGAGGTGTGTGTGTGTGGGGGGTGGGGGGTTGGGGGTGGAGGCGGGAAGAGGAGGAGCTTGTGGCATAGATGACCCTCTCCCAGGGTCTCTGGACAAATGACCCACATCCTGAGACCAGCCAAGTTACTGAGTGAAGTGCAGTGGCCACAAGAGGGCCAGAAGAAGAGGGAAGGCAAGCGGGGCCCGAGAGGCCCTTACCAGTGGTGCAGCACGTCATTGATCAGGTAGATGAGGTGCAGCCGCAGTTCAAAGTGTGCCCCATCAGCTGTGATGCGGTTCCGGAGGTGGCCTGCCATTAGCTCACAGTGCGGAGGGGACTTCGCGTTGCTGAACATCCAGTTCTTCCCGGCCTGCAACAGAGCAATGGGTGAGCAGAGTTGGGCTCGCCCAGCCAGAGCTTGGGCAGGTGCCCAGGGAGGTCAGGGCACAGCTGAGGGTGTGGTGCCCAAGGGCTCGGCCACATGCTGCAGCCTCTGCCTGCCTTCCCCTTCTCTTGGAGGTGCTCAAGGGGGAAGGGCAAGAGTAGATGGGGCATCGCTACGGCAGCCCTGGCCCAGAGGCTTTGGTGGGCTCTCACCCGTCAGGAGCACTAGGTTCTGGGAGCACTGAGCCCACCCAGCCCCACTGCCCTCACCGAGATGGCATCTTTGGTGCATGTGTCAATGATCGGCTGCAGCAGGTTGTCAAACTCGTTCATGTCCAGCTGGGTCTCCTCCAGGAGCTTCTGCATCTGCTGCTCTACGGCATGGGCCACGGCCGCTGTCACCTGCTCCTGGGAGGCCAGGTGGGACCAAGACTGCCCATCAATGTCCCACCACAGCAGCAGAAGGCCCTGTCCCTCACATCCACAGCCTCACACCCACAGGAGCAGTCACAGCCACGGCAGGCAGAGGTTAGAGCAGTGATGGAGAACCTATGACACGCGAACTCATTTTTTTGGTTGATTTTTCTTTGTTAAATGACATTTAAATATATAAAATAAATATCAAAAATATAAGTCTTTGTTTTACTATGATTGCAAATATCAAAAAATTTCTGTATGTGACACAGCACCCCAGAGTTAAGTTAGGGTTTTTCAAAATGCTGGCACGCCGAGCTCAAAAGGTTCGCCATCACTGGGTTAGAGCAAGAAGAGACGGAGGGAAAGACAATGTCCAGCCCTACCACAGGTGACAGATGGAATGATTAAGACCCAGAGGAACAGGGGACCTCTGCAGGCTAGTTAAACACAAAAAGAAAGTGGACAGATAGCACAGAGAGGGCTTATGAAAGGTCACTAGTCAGGATAAAGGAGAGCAACCAAGGAATGGAAAATTAAAACAGGATAGACTGGCAAACTGAGAGACTGCTGAAATCTGGGACTTCTGTGGGGACAGGCAGTCCGATCAGGGCTGGCCGAGGCTGGACCACCCATCCTATGAGAGGCTCCAGCCAGAAACTGAGGGTGAGTGATCTGGCATGTTTTGTTGTCAGCAATATGACAGTGATCTTAAATATAGTAATAAAACAGGCGCTGGTGTTTCAGATGCCTTATTTTTTTTTTATTCATCTCATTTTCCATGTGATTCATCGTACTATATTTGGCAATAAGTATTAGAACTGTAATGGATCAGGACAGAAGGGTCCTTCCCTCAACAGCTTGGAGTGACCTGGCTAGCACGAACTGCTGCCAATGGCACCAAAGGCCACACGGTATTCTGTTACACAATTTCTAACGTGTAGTCCCACTCATAGGTGTCCACTCCAGTAAACAGCTTGGGTAATGATTTCACTGGAATGAGAAGTAACCTCTGTCCAGAGGGACTGGGCTAAACACGCCATGGGTAGTGGCAGCACTGTCCACAGCACTGATGCTTGGTAATGGGTCCTCCTGATAGCTATTTGTGAGTCCCAATGTACAGATGCAAAAACTGAGGCACAGGGGTGAGCTCCAGAGACCACCTGAGGACAAAAAGGGGAAAAAGGAGGGCCCTAGGCCTACTCAGGGCTGATGGGAGTGGGAGGGAAGAGGAGGAGCAGGCCCCATACCTGTCTGAGAGCAAGCAGGTGCTGCTCCTGCTGCTGCAGGTTCCACTGGCTCTGCTGGATGAGCTCATCCATTGACGGGGCTCCCTGGGCGGGTGGGATGGGTGCAGCAGGGGCTAACGGGGGCTGTGTGAGGGGTGGCAGCGCTGCGGCTGGCTCCAGCTCTGGGGCCTGCTGCTTGCAGATGACTGGCAGAAGAGGAGAAAAGGTGCCCCAGTGAGAAGGTGGCTGGGGTCTAGGTGTCTCCTTGGCTGCCTCTTGGGCAGCCCTCAGCCATAGGGGCTCCCCTCTCCACACTTACCATCCACAAGAGGACTTCTGCACTGTGCTGCAGCCACACTCCCTGCCTCTGCCACACCACCACCGAAGTCTGCCAGGCTCCACTCACGCTCAGCCTGGCTCTCCCACCCCTCTCATTCCCCCAGAGCCTAGAACCAGCCCCTTTCCCGTGTCCCACCCACCACCTTCCACCTTTGTACCAGTCCTCTCCTTGGAGATCTCAGGACTGTAACCCTGCCACTCCTTCCAACACTGTCGTCTTGCCCATTGTCCTCTGGCACAGACCAAGCTAGAGCCCATCCCCCTTCACCCTCCCCTCCTCACCAAGGCCTAAACTGAAGCTAAACCCAGGCCAAAGCTCTGCCCCCACGAGCATCTCTCTGCTACCATCCCCTAATATACTCTTTACTTTCAGGTCATCAGAGCCACCTGATGCCCAGCCAGGGAGCCCAAAATAGGAGCAGGCAGCACCCCTGAGCACATGCTGTGGCCCATCACCACGTGCCCCTTGATTTCCTTATCCCGACTGTTTGGGGAAAGGGACTCCTCGGAGTCAATCGAGGTTGAGCCAGGGCGAGACGACCATCCTACCGGTAGGAGACTGGGTCAGGTGGGTGTGTGCCCGAATGTGGCCAGATGAGAAGAGACAGACATTTGGGTGGTGGGATGTGGGGGGTTCTGCTGGGAAGGGTCGCTGAACAAAATGGTCTCCCCATCAGCTACTGGGTCTTGTCTGGTCTGAACATGACTACCCACTGCTGGAACCCTGCTGAGTCCCATCCCAAGGGGACCTGGCCTTTGGACAAAGACAGGCAGACAGAACAGATGGTGCTGTCCAGGGCCCATCTCGGGACACTCAGTCACTTCTTAGATCTGGTTGAGCCTTCTGGTGTTGACACCCTCGGGGACATCCTCCTCCACTTCCCAGAGACATTTCTTCAGCAAATCTGTTCTCTCGCTCTCATTTCTTCATTTTCTCCCTCTTTCTGGCTCCTTCCCAGCAGCCCCAAAATATAACTGTCTCTGTCTTTAAAAACTTTCCCTTAATCGCATGCCCCTCATCTCATCAATTTCACAGCCAAGATTCCATTTCAATTCATCTCTCCTTTATCTTACTTGCCCAGGGAAAGTCCGGCTCTGTTCACCCATCCCAACCCCTATCCCCACAGCCCTGGGGGACATCCTTATTCAGCCTGATGGCCCTGTCACAGGCCCCTGTCTCACTCAGTCCGTGTGGCCCCTTCCTCTTTCTCTCTGACCCTTAACTGCTGGGATGCCAGGGCTGTCTTCTCTCTGAAACCCCTAGGGGAACGCAATTACAATCAGCATACCGTAATTCCTAACTCTATCATGTTCACCCGGGATTCCTTGAGCTCTGGACCTAATTACAGCTCTAACAGCCCATAGCTTTCCACAGGCATGCATATCCTCTTGCCCCATGCTCCACCCACCAAGCCCTACTACTGATCTCTGTGGCTGGCATGGCTATGCCCATATACCCAAGCCAGAGCCTAGAAGGCACAAACCCCCGTCTTTCCTTTGCACCTCACACTGACAAGTTAACCCGTGCTGTCATCAGCTTCCTAGATCACATTCTGGTCTGTTTGTGTCCCTGCTGTCACTGCCACAACTCTGCTGTCACCTGCATCACCTTTGAAACTGGTCTCCGAGTCCAGTCCGGTCCCCTCCACATGGCAATATAGTGACGCTGCTCAAAGTGTGGTCTGAGGAGCAGTCAGGTGAAAGATTACACAAATACAGAAATGGTGAAGAAGTACTTGGCGCTTTTATGGCTCACATTTTTACTCTATTTTGCAAAGGTATATTCTCTATAACAGAATTTTTAAAAAAACAAAAACTGGTCCTTCAACAGAGTTTGCAAAACGCCATTCTAGAACAGTTCTGGGCTCCAGTGTTTACAATGACTAACCCTGCTCCACAACACAGACCTGAAACCAACCCTTCAAGAGACCCCAAAGCTCCTAGGTCCTTGGCAAGCCAGCCCTCCCTACTCTGCACCCTCACTTTGAGCCACTCTAAGAACCCCTCCTTCTCCGAGCTTCAGCCACCTTGAGCTCTTGTCCCCTCCACTCCCTAGTCCCTCCTAAGGCAGTGTCCTCTGCCTGAACACTTTTCTCCAGTTTCCATCTGGCTAACTCTATGCATTCTTCAATCACAGCTAGATATTGTTACCTGCACAATACACTTCATGAGCCCCAATCTTCCCCTGCTAAAAGCACCCTTCCTTCCTGGGTTATGGCACCAAGTCCCCAAGCAGACCTGGATTTCTAACCCCACAGGGCAGGGTGAGTGAGCTCCCCTTGCAAGGGAAGCAGCTCTCACTCCTGGTCACTCCAGTCAAAGCACTGTCCTCCCCTTGTCCCCCCTACCTGGTTATGTCAAAAATATCCATCTGGTGCCCTAGTTCATGGATTCGACCCCTTAACCCCAGGAACCCCCCAGGCTGAGTCCCTCAGGCTCAACCCACTGATCTAATTCAGATCTTACCATCAAATGCTCGTTCACTCCCTGCTGGCCTCACTGGTTCCAGCCTCCACTCCTGCTCCCTCCAGCTTGGCCACACTGGCCATACGAACCTGACCCATCACTCCTTTGTTCAAACTCTCTCGTGACTTCACACTTTCTGTAGCAGGGGTTTTAAACTGGTGTGCAGGGGCTACGGAGTAACTGCTCCAGGGACATGTAAGCACACACAACATTTTGCCTACAATTTCAGGAAGCTGATCTCCCTCACCCCCATCTCAACTATAACTATGCACAAGAACCCCTGAACTGAGGGTGAAAACCCCAACATTCCCCTGGCATTTCCACTCCAGACCAAATACTCCCCTCCTCCACACATGTTCTGTGCTCCAGCCGTGCTGGGCCTCTCATGGTTTCTTCCATGGATATCCAAACACACCAAGCTTGTTCAAGCAATTGCACCTTAGCAGTTTCTTACAAATTCTTTGTTGAACGCTACTGTGTACTATGTATTAGGGCACAAGAATGACCCAAAACAAAGTCTGGTGCTTGTAGTCCAGGGAACATTCAGCTTTCAATGCCCATCAACTTGAGCAATCCTCTACTCATTCAAATGTATTCAGCAGCTAGGTAATCATTACTGGACAAAACTGATGTAGGACCTTACCACCTGGAGGCTATTTGTTATTCAAAGGCCAGCTGTGATTTCTAACTCCATCTTAACTCCTCTGAGGGCAGGACCAGAATCCTGATGTCCAACTCAGGGAACACTGTAAACCTCTGCAAAGAACTAAAACCCAACGGGACAATACTTTTTGATTTGGACTGTAAGCAACTGAAATGCACAAAAACCTTGCTGGACCCAGGAAGGGCCCACAAAGGGAGCTGAACAGTGGCTCAAAACAGAATCCCAGTCCAGCCTCTATCACTGCCTTCCTGGAAAACACTGAAGCAATCACTACTTCTGCTGACCCCAGTCATCACGTTTGCAAAAACAATAGAAAAATCCCTGATCTCGAGCCCAGAAGGTGGATCCATAACCTCCTTCCCCATTACACTCGGACCCAGCAACCACTTGCTGCAGGCCTGAGAGCAACGGAAGGGATCGTGAAGGCCTAGCTCCCACAATTTGAAAGAGCATGCGACCCAAAGGAAGGCGGTTTGTGGCAGAGCCTGCACTGGTATCAGAGAAAGAAATCGCTCCAGGGTGCGACCAGAGCTGGAGAGGACTCACGCTGCTGCTGTTCCAGCGCTAGCTTGCACTTGTAGTAACTGTAGAAGTCGCCTCCGAACAGAAACGAGAATTTGGGGTTGTCCTTCTGCTTCTCCATCGTCATCTTCTCAAACTCGGGCCCGTTGCGAGCCACGAACTGGGCCAGTTTGTCGATGACATTTCGAAGCTCCTGGTCTGGAGAACGGAGAAAAGGCCACGCGGGGCGTCAGCGAGGACCGCCCAAATCCGGGGGCCCCGGCGCACCAGCCGCCGTCCACCAGGTCGGGATCTCTAGGGGTGGGCCCCGCAGAGGCCGCCCTTGTACGGGTCCTGGTAGGGGCCACAAGCGCGCCGGGAATGCGGAGACCCGCGGGAGAGGCCGCAGGCGAACCCGGGAGGCCGAGCCCCGCCCCCTCCTAGGCCCGGGGACCTCAGGAGGCGGGGTAGGCCAACAGGGGATCCGGGGGAGAGAGAAACGGTCCCTAAACTCGCGCTGGGCCTCACCGTCGGGTGGCAGCGGCATCTCCATGGCTCCTGCCGCCGGGAACGACCTCCGGTGCCTCTCGATCCCCCACCAGCGCCGTCGGTGGAAGCCGGCAGGAAGTGGCGCGAGGGAGCCGTTTACGGCGGGCCTCGTGGGCTGCTTCCGTCCGTCACTTACGGCCGTCGCCGGGAGACCCCGGAAGTGAGGGCGGGAGGCAGGCGGGAAGAAGCCGCGTGAGGCCGAGCGCGCGGGAGGAGTTCGCGGTGCGCAGACGCAGGGACTCTTTTGCGCTTGCGCGGAGGGGGCTGTCTCCCGCCGCCCCAGAACCGCTGGGTCAGCCGGCAGTGCCGGCCGTTATCTGTGGCAGGGGCTCTCTGCTGGCTTCGTTGCAGCCCGGGGGCCCGGTGGGCCACGTCTCCGCGGGGCAAGAGGGCTGGGGAGTGCTTGTCTGGGTCAGGGCCTGTGTTGTATTGTCGGGGGAGCGGCAGTGAAGAGACTGCGAGGCGAGGTGAGTGCGGGAGGCTCCCAGGCCAGCCCCGCGGTGGAAACAGAACCCGGCGTCGCCGGGCTCGGTGAGGATGGGACTGGGCTGAGTGAGATTCCAAAGATCCTCCCACCCGGTGTCTGTCGCCGCACCCAGCACCGCGGTAAGGAAGACTTTGCGGCGGGAACGTGCCACTCCCGCTGGCCTCAGCCTGCGTGGCTTCCGCGTCGTGGAGCGCCCGCGGCCGACCTCCGGCGACTCGCTTGCCAGACTGCCCGCCTTCCTGAAAGCAGCAGTGATGTAACTTCTAACACGAGTGTGGACGTTAAGAGACGTCCAAACCTGTAGGGAATTTTTATGAGTTTATTTGCGCCAAACTGACAGTTGCGGGGGAGCAAAATCTCAAGGAATTGAGAAGGTGCTCTGGAGAGTGGCAGCTGAGCAGCTGATTTTATACATTAAAATAAAAGGAGGAGCGGCCCGGAGGGTTACATGCAGTCCCCTGGTGGTAGGTTAAGGGAGTTGGAGAAAACAAAGCGAGGAGATAATCTGGGACTGGATAAAAAGGCAAAATAGAGAAACATGTACTTTTGCCTTCGCGGGCACGGGATAGTTAGCATGTACAGCACGTAGAGATCGTGTGTGGGGAACAAGGTAACGTTGAGGGGTTCTTGCCCTGTGGGGTCCAGGCAAGATTATCCTCACCTTTCTTTCTTTCTTTCTTTTTTTTGTATGTTATCTTAGCCCTGGCCGGGTAGTTCAGTTGGTTGGAGCATCGGCTGGTTCACCAAGATTGCGAGTTCGACTCCCCGTCAAGGCACATAACTAGTTTTCCGGTTCCATCCCGGGTCCAGGGCGTGTACAGGAGGCAACCAGTCGATCTTGCTCTCACATTGATGTTCCTCTCTCTCCTTCTCTCTGTAAAGATCAATAAAAGCATATCCTAGGCCAGTGATGGTGAACCTTTTGAGCTCGGCGTGCCAGCATTTTGAAAAACCCTAACTTAACTCTGGTGCCGTGTCACATATAGAAATTTTTTGATATTTGCAACCATAGTAAAACAAAGACTTATATTTTTGATATTTATTTTATATATTTAAATGCCATTTAACAAAGAAAAATCAACCAAAAAAATGAGTTCGCGTGTCACCTCTGACACGTGTGTCATAGGTTCGCCATCACTGTCCTAGGGTGAGGATTAAAAAAAAAGCTATGTTATCTTAGATGCAAAAAGGAAATTGGGCAGGCTCATATAAGGTGAAGATTGACTTTTGACAAGGAAGCTATAGGCCTGGGGCATAACTACCTGCCATGACCTGCCTTTAGTTAGGAATTTTTATGTTCAGACCATCCAATGGGGTTACTTTCTGTCTGCTTGTAAGGCCTGCCATGCAGACCTCCCCTGAACTTGTCGGGTTTAGTATGTGGCCGTTTTTTGATAAGAGGATGAAATTAATGCATGCTAATTGTGGGGAAAGATAAGCAGCAAACTAGAGCACACGGTGGACATCCCCTGATACTTAGTTGGCCATTTTTTCTATGCAAATTGATGTACATTTTAGATACACTTTTCATTGTTACAAAATGTCTCCTTTTTTTGTTTTTTAATATATTTTTTATTGATTAAGATATTACATATGTGTCCTTGTCCCCACGTTACCCTCTACCCCCCCCCCCCCATACCCTCACCCCCCCGTTGTCCGTGTCCATTGGTTAGACCTATATGCCTGCATATAAGTCCTTTGGTTGATCTTTCCCCCTTACCCCCACCCTCCCCTACCTTCCCTCCAAGTCCCGACAGTCCAATCAATGCCTCTCCGTCTCTGGATCAGTCCTTGTTCATCAGTTTATGTTGTTCATTATATTCCACAAATGAGTGAGATCATGTGGTATTTATCCGCTCTCCAGTTCCATCCATGCTGTGGCAAATGGTAAGAGTTCCTTTTTCTTCTTCCTCTTCTTAAAGAATACCTTTCAGCATTTCATATAATGCTGGTTTGGTGGTGATGAACTCCTTTAGCTTTTTCTTATCTGTGAAGCTCTTTATCTGACCTTCAATTCTGAATGATAGCTTTGCTGGATAAAGTAATCTTGGTTGTAGGTTCTTGCTATTCAGCACTTTGAATATTTCTTGCCACTCCCTTCTGGCCTGCATGGTTTCTGTTGAGAAATCAGCTGACAGTCGTATGGGTATTCCCTTGTAGGTAACTGACTGTTTTTCTCTTGCTGCTTTTAAGATTCTCTCTTTGTCTTTTGCTCTTGGCATTTTAATTATGATGTGTCTTGGTGTGGTCCTCTTTGGATTCCTTTTGTTTGGGGTTCTCTGCGCTTCCTGGACTTGTAAGTCTATTTCTTTGACCAGGTAGGGGAAGTTTTCTGTCATTATTTCTTCAAATAGGTTTTCAATATCTTGCCCTCTCTCTTCTTCTGGTACCCCTATAATTCTGATGTTGGTACGCTTGAAGTTGTCCCAGAGGCTCCTTACACTATCTTCATATTTTTGGATTCTTTTTTCTTTTTTCTTTTCGGTTGGGTATTTTTTGTTTCTTCGTATTTCAAATCTTTGACTTGATTCTTGGGATCCTCTTGTCTGCTGTTGGATCTCTGTATATTATTCGTTATTTCAGTCAGTGTATGCTTAATTTCTAGTTGGTCTTTTTTCATATCCTCCAGGGTCTCACTAAATTTATTGGCAGTTTCCATAAAATTCTTGAAAAACCTTATAAACGTGGTTTTGAACTCTATATCCAGTCGTTTGCTTTCCTCCATTTCTGTCATTTGTGACCTGTTTCTTTGTCTCCGCATTTTTTATGCTTCCCTGTGTTGGTAGAGTGGTTTTGTGTGCTAGGTGTCCTGTAGGGCCCAGTGGCTCAGCCTCCCCAATTACCTGAGGTGGACACTCTTGGTGCACCCCTTTGTGGGCTTTGTGCACAGTCTTGTTGTAGTTATGCCTTGATTGTTGTAGGATCACTGGGAGGAATTGACCTCCAGGCCAGTTGGCAGTGAGAATCAGCTGTGTCTGCAGTGGGAGAACTTCTGTGCTGAAGACACCCTTCTGGGGCAAGACTTGCTTCAGTGGGGCTTTGGTGCTCACTGAGTCTGCCCCCTGAGTGTGTCCCTTATGGATCTGAGGAGTTGTAATCTGGATGGTCCCCCTCTGACCACTGGGTACACTGGCTCTTGGATCTAAGGAGATGCTAATTTAGCCTCTGCCTGAGGTTACCCAGCAGGAGCTATGAAGAGAACTGCAGATTCCCCTTTCTTGTTTGGGGTTTGGAGGTGCCCTGATGAGGCCCAGCTGTGAAGCAATGCAAGCTGCTGTGGGGCCTTGGGCCTTCTCTTGGAAGTTCTGGGTCTGTCTGGCCCAGCTGCAATTTGTTAGGTAATTTTCAGGTTGCAAAGGGCCAGGGCATTCATATGCAAAAGCCTCTGCTGCAGCCTGGGTGGGGCGGGGTCTCAGGGAATCAAAGGGCGGAGCAAGCAGCTGTGGCTGGTCCTCAGCCCTGCCCTAAGGGGCCGCGCACGTCTCAGTGTCCCAGTAATTGCTGCAAGCACCTCTGAGGGAAAGCCGCCCTCAAGTTCAGAGTTCTGCCCGCTGCCAGACAGTCCAGTTTCCCCCCGTATGAGTCCTGGGTCCCCAGAGACTTCCCGGAACTGGAGTTCAGAGCAGTCGGGAGCTTGTGACTCCCTCCCGATTCAAAAAGACAGCGCGTCCTCAAGTACCAGCCCCTTTACTTCCGCAGCTCCTGACCCTCAGTGTGCTTTTCTCTTTCCTTCTAGTTGTAGAATTTCCACTTAGCCAGCCTTCCTGTAGTTCTGGATGATGTCCGTTTTGCTTTTTGTTGTATTTTTGAAGTTGTAGGAGGCAGCAATTTCGGTGTTTACCTATGCCGCCATCTTAGTTTCTCAAAATGTCTCCTTTTGACACTGGGTTTGCCTCCTGTATGCCAGAGGCCAGGGGTTGGCAAACTTCTATAAAGGGCCAGATTGCAAATATTTTAGGCTCTATGGGCCAAGAGGCAAAATTCAGGATATTATGTAGGTACTTTTTAAAAATGTATTTACTGCCCTAGCCAGTTTGGCTCAGTGGATAGTGTGTCAGCCTATGGACCAAAGGGTCCCGGGTTTGATTCCTATCAAGGGCACATACCTGGTTGCAGGCTCCTCCCTGGCCCAGACCCCGGTCGGGTTCATGCAGGAGGGAACCAATCGATGTGATTCTGTCACATTGATGTTTCTCTCTGTCTTTCCCTCTCTCTTCCACTCTCCCTAAAAAATCAATGGAAAAATATCCTCCGGTGAGGATTAACAACAACAACAAAATGTATTTATTGATTTGAAAGAGAGAAACATCAATTTGTTCCGCTAATTTATGCATTCATTGGTTGCTTCTTGTATGTGCCCTGACTAGGGATTGAACCCACAACTTTGGTATATCAGGATGATGCTCTAACTGAGCCACCCAGCCAGGGCCTTTGTAGGTACTTTCATAACCCAAGAGAGAAATGTCCGTAACATTTTTATTGGTGGAATTCAAAATGTAATCATTGAGTACAGTTTTAAAAATACAGGTCTATTAATGAGAAGAATGGAATGTTTTTTGAGGTTCCAAGTTAGTCTTTCCTGTTACAAATTGACTAGAGGCCCGGTTCACGAAATTCGTACACTTGGGGTGGTGGTGGTGGGGGGGGGGGTCCTTCAGCCTGGCCTGTGCC